TGATCTCGAGGTCTCGCGACTGATTCTTTCATCGTACATCTATCCGACGTGTTCGTCCCTAGTGTATTTAACACTAGATACTCAAGATGCAAGCGCAGCCGGCTGCAAATTTTGGTGGGCTACGGCCGAAGGAAAAATAATCAGAGGGTCTCGGAGAAAAAGTGTCTAGTCTCGTGGGTATGGACTGTAACGGCTTCGCGATCGCGGTTGTAGGCGGCAGAGGCGGCGTATGAGTATCCGAATTCAATAGTAGACTGAGCCAAACGAGGATACGCCTTTGCAACCTTCGAACAAGTAGAGCCATTTCATCGACGTGGTGGCAACAGCATGTATCGTATACCCAGCAACGACACAGAACTAGTAGCCTACACTATACAGTAGAGAGAAAAGTAACAGTCATCGGAACATGAGACAAACAGCACATGAGTAATACGAATCGGGAGACGATGAGAGTGGTATATATGACACAGAGGTAGGGATGGAGATGAGGCAGAGTGAGGCTGGAATATAATGGGGAGTATGGTGCAGTCTGGGATGGGATGCGGAGAATGTAGAAATACGTATATAGGTGGGCGAAAGGGAGGTATCCGGCGATGTGAGACTAGTCGAGATGACGATACGATGGCAGCGAGGGGTACAAGTACACGGACAGCAAGGAGAACAGGACGGGGATGTACGTCGGAGGCGGAGACGCGTGAGAACAGCCACAACGAGTGAACTACAAATTCATCGTCAAATCCCTCGCATCCAAGAAATTCGGATTCGGCGCATAATCCTTAAGCGTGAAATTCGCCATCTGCCTCGCCTTCGCCCTCTCCGCCGCGAGCCTCGTGATACAACTCATTAGATCCGTCCTCCTCAGCGGCTTCGTGATATGGTCGTCCATCCCCGCATCGATGCACCGCTCCCGATCGCCAATCATCGCATGCGCCGTGAGCGCGATAATCGGCGTCCGCTGCAAATGGAAGCTCTTCTCCCACTGCCGGATATGCTCCGTCGCCTCCATCCCGCCCATGAACGGCATGCTCACGTCCATGAGAATGATATCGAACGGCTTCTTCTGCCGCGCGCGCGCCTTGAACGCGTCGACCGCGAACTGCCCGTTCTCCGCGATCTCGACCTCGTGCCCGTACTTCTCGAGGATCTTGACGGCCAGCTTCTGGTTCACGACGTTGTCCTCGGCCAGGAGGATGTCGAACCTGTTCTCGTGCGTGGCGGTCGCGGGCGAGACGGTGCTCGACTCTAGCGCCGAGATGAGCGCCGAGGCGAGGTCCTGCGCGCTCACGGGCGTCGTAACCTCGCTGCTGATCGAGTTGTCCAAGCACCATTTCACTGCGCAAACCCAATCAACACACAATATCTCATCATAGAGAGAAAAGGACGCACGGTTCAACCTCGGCAAATTCGGCGCGAGCAGCACGATCGGGATATACCTCAGATGCTCAAACTCGCGTATAGTCTCCGTGACCGCAAGACTATCCACCACGATCGTATCAATGTGCGGCACTGCGTTCTTATCCGCGACCTCGCTCGCATCGTGCACCACATACGGCACGACCCCCAGCTCGCGCATCAGATCCGACACGCCCGTATCGTCGTGCTGCGTGTCGACATACAGAATGTTGCGGTTCGCAAACGGCGCCATCTTGCCGAGCGTCGTCTCCATCGTCTGCTGCCCGATCGACGACGTGATGGTGAAGAAGAACTTGGAGCCGACCCCGACCTGGCTCTCGACCCACATGTTGCCCTCCATGAGCAGCACCAGGCGCTTCGAGATAGACAGCCCCAAGCCCGTCCCGCCGTACTCGCGCGTCGTGCTCCCGTCCGCCTGCGCGAACGTGTCGAAGATCAAGCTGAGCTTGTCCTGCTTGATCCCGATCCCCGTGTCCGTGACGCAGAACTCGAGCGTCACGTTCTCGTCGTCGCCGGCGAGGAACCGGCACGAGAGCGCGACGTGCCCGCGCTGGTGCTTCGACGGCGTGAACTTGATCGCGTTGCCGACGAGGTTCGTGATGACCTGCCGTAGGCGGAGCGCGTCGCCCACGAGCGAGTCCGGGATCTCAGGGTCGACGTCGTACGTCAGATCGGTATTGTTCTGCGACGCGCGCACGACGAGCGTCTTGAGGATACCGAACACTGTCTGGCGGAACGAGAAGGACACCTGCTCCATCGTCATGCGACCGGCCTCAACTACGAACAACCCATCAGCGCCCATATCTCAAATGCAACTCAAAGACCAAAAACAGCGGTGACGTACTCTTCGAAATATCCAAGATATCATCGATAATAAGCAGTAGCGACCTCGCAAGCGAATGGACGAGCAGCAAGCTCTCCCTTTGACTCCTGTTCAATTCCGAATCGAGCGTCAGCTCCGTCATGCCAATAATCCCATTCATCGGCGTCCGGATCTCGTGCGACATGTTCGCCAAGAACTCCGACTTGGACCTGTTCGCGAGCTCGGCCGTCTCGCGCGCGGCGGTGTGCCGCTGAATCGCATCGCGCAAGTTAAACACCATCTGGTTGATCTGCGTCTTCAACGAGTCCATCTCGCCCGCGGCTTGCACGGTGATGAAGCGCGTGAAGTCGCCGTCCATGGCCGCCTGCGAGATCTGGGCGAAGCCGCGCACTTGGGTCGTCAAGTTGTGCGCCATCGTGTTCACGGACATTCTGAGCGGAGCATCAGCACGAGACCGCCCGTCCGACTATGAAATGCGCGTACGTGATGGCCTGCCAGATCCCCTGCACATTCCCAACTTCAGCCTGGACGCCTAGCTTGCCCTCAGTCCCGACCTCGCGCGCGACCTTCTTGACCTCGGACCTGCACCCAGCCCACGTCAGCCACCACCCTCAACACACACAACCCAATAAGAGAACGACGTACGCGAAGATGTTCAACTGGTCAATCATGTTATTGATCGTATCGACCAAGTCCAACATCTCTCCCGACACGCTCACGCCCTCGATCTTCTGCGTCAAGTCTCCGCGCGCGACGGCCGTCTGCACACCTCGCATCAGCCACCCGTACCCATTATCAACAAAAGAGAGAAAAGAGGGAACGGACCGTGGAAGCTGCAATCGTTCTGACTTGTAGCGTCAAGTTGGCCGCCATGACGTTCACAGAGTCCGTTAGGCCCTTCCAGGTACCGCCGACGTTCGTGACCTGCAGAACTGTCAGCTACCATACTCGTTAACAAGACCAAGGAGGAATGTACCTTGGCCTGACCGCCCAACCGACCCTCAGTCCCGACCTCCCGGGCCACACGCGTGACCTCGTCCGCGAACACGCTCAGCGACTCCGTCATGCCGTTCACCGTGCTCTGCACAACCGCCGCGCACCAAATCAGCAACCCATCCCCTCCCGAAGATGAGCGCGGAAAACGCACCTTCAAGTCAAGCATCTCGCCCCGCACGTCGACCTCGATCTTCTTCTTCAAGTCGCCGTTCGCGACGGCCTTCGTGACCTCCGCGATCGACCGCACCTGGTTCGTCAGGTTCATCGCCATCAGGTTCACGTTGTCCGCCAAGACCTGCATCACGTCAATAAGCTGGAGGTAAGAGGGTTGGGACGAGGGAGAGGGACGGCACCTTCCACATGCCCTGCACATCGGGGACGTACGCCTGGCCGCCCAATATACCCTCCGTCCCGACCTCTAGCGATACGCGCGTGACCTCGTTCGCGAGCGTCGACAATTGGTTCACCTATCCGAACACAGGAGGAAGGAGTGGGTGTCTCAAGTCAGCATCTCATCGCATAAGCCAGGGAGTAACAGGCGTTCCGAGAGGTAGTGGAGAGACGACGCACCATCTGGTTAACCGTCATCTTCAGATCCAGCATCTCGCCCTGCACATCGACGTTCACGAGCCGCCCGAGGTCGCCCATGGCGACGGCCTTGGTGACCTCCGAGATCGAGCGCACTTGGTCGGTCAAGTTCGAGGCCATTTTCTGCGCGGTCTATCATCAGCACCTCCTAATAGCAGCCCAAAGAAAGAGTGGGATGAGGTGGTGGAGAGAGAGAGAGAAAACGCACGTTGACGTTCCGCGTCAAATCGGCCCAGGTACCCTGCACGCCCTCGACGCGCGCCTGCCCGCCGAGTATACCCTGCGTGCCGACTTCCAATGCCACGCGCGTGACCTGTTCGTCCATCAGCACAACCCCGTCATCGCAACAGCGAAGGTGTATGTGGAGATGATATCGTACCTCGGACGCAAAGGCGGACAACTGGTCCACCATGGAGTTCACCGTCGTCTTGAGCGTCGCCATCTCGCCCTCGACCTGGCACACATAATCGGCCATCGTTCTCGGGGACTATGCGAGGGTAAGTCGTACCTGGATCTCGACTTTCTGCGTCAAGTCTCCGCGCGCGACGGCCGTCGTAACGCCCGCGATCGAGCGCACCTACGGCACACGATCGCATCAGCACTTCGCTCTCGCTTCGAGCCAAGAGGGATGGATCGTACTTGGTCGGTCAAAGATGAACACATCCTGTTGACGTTCCTCGTCAACTCTAGCCACACGCCCTCGACGTCCGGTACGACGGCCTGCACCCCATTAGCATCCCCCCATCTTTTAACAGACGCAGAAGAACGACACGCACCTGACCGCCCAAAATACCCTGCGAGCCAACTTCCAATGTTACGCGCGTGACCTGCACGTACGCGTCAGCTCATCACATCGCATCGCCATACACAGAGCGCGGGAAAGAAGTTGCGGGGGGCCCGGATAGGCAAGCGAAAGCCGGATGCATGATGGGAAGGAGATCGCAGATATGGATGCGAAGACGGAGACGGACCTCGGCGGCTAGCGCGCGCAGTCGTATGACCATTCCGTTGACCGTGTTCTTCAAGTCGAGTATCTCGCCCTGCGCGTCGACTTCGATTTGCTTGCTCAAGTCGCCGTTGGCGACAGCCTGCAAAAGGCAAAGGCCGTCAGTGACAATGTTAGCGCATCAGAGACCAGCGAGAAATGAATAAAGTGCGAGAAAGCAAAGACGCACCTTTGTGACGATGGAGATAGACCGCATTTGCCGCGTAAGGTTCGCCGCCATGTTGTTCACGACCTGTGTGAGCTCGTACCAAGTGCCGGCGACATTATGCACGACGGCCTGCCCGCCGAGCTTACCCTCCGTGCCGACCTCGACCGACACGCGGGTGACCTCCTGCGAGAACTTGGCGAGATTATCGACCATGCCGTTGATGACGTCCTTGAGATCGACCATGACGACTCCATGAACAGGAACAGTGACCTTCTTGCTGAGATCGCCGCGCGCGACGGCCGAGCAGACCTTGGCTACGTCCTTGATCTGGTCCTTTAGCAATCGGAGCTCGTCCACGGCGCTCATCCCGCTCTCGTAGGCCGCGGCGGCGAGCGGGCCGGGCGGGACGAGCATCGGGCTGGCCGGGTCGTACGCGGGCGCGCCGACGCCCGCGGCCGCGTGGCGGAGCTTCTGTGCGGTCTGAGCGTCTGTGGCGGGGCGGAGGCACGTGGGGCAGAGCGAGTGGTGTCCGTATCCCGTGGGCGGGGCGGAGGCGGATCCGCGCGGGATGCTCGGGTTGCGGTCGTCGCCGTCGAGGCTGGAGACGGGGAGGGCGATGTTCATGCCCTCGTGCGGGATCTTGGACCGCCGCATCTTGACGGCCGTCGGCTGGACGGGCGCCTGTTGCGGCGTGACGTCCATCTCGTCGTCTTGATTCGGTTGGGCGTTGGCCATTTCGGTGTCAGATTCGTCTGTGGGGCCGGGCTCGCTTGAGTCTAGCGCGTACGGCGGGAAGAACGACGGCGCGGCAGCAGAAACGTCGGCCGGGCGCGAACCTTCCTCCCCTCCGCTCCCCGCGGTGCTCCTCCTCTTCTTGCTCCCCGGCGCAAGCACGTGCGCAGGGCCGCGCAGCTCCTCCAGCTCGTGCTCGGCGGTGAACACGCGTCGGGCCAGATTGTCGATGCTCCGGCCCAGCGCGCGGTACCGCCAGTCGTCCTCGGGCCCCGGCCAGCGCGGCTTAGCGGCTGAGATGCCCTCGACGCCGAGCTCGTATACGTTGAGAACGGCGAGCAGGTGCGCGATGAAGCGCGTGTCGTATTCGTGGTGCTCCACCGCATCCGTGCCCACCATCGTGAACAGTGCGATGAGCGCGAGTGACAAGACACACTCGAAAGCAGAGGACATGATCGTCCCCGGCAAACGCCGCTCCTTAATTCTATACTCTCCGCGCCCTCTCCCGGCCCCCGTTCCCCGTCCCGTCGCGCATGCTTTTTACATCCTCCTAGATCCGCATAATATGCCCGGCGCCGTCCCTCGCGCCCTCCAGGCCAGTCCCGCCGGCATCTTCTGGGATCTCTGGGACGCGTACTCTGTCTGCTGACCATAGACGCCTATGGGTCCAATCCGTTCCATCGCGAATTCCCAGCCTTCCCGTTTCGCTTTTTGCGTTTGCACTCCGCCCGCGCGCGCACACACGAGGCCGGCGCGCGCCTGCCTCCGGCCCTCAGATGTACATAAAGACGCTCCGAGCCCATACGCTCTTTTACTCGATATCCCCGGCTCGACGTATCTTCCTCGCTCGATATCAATGCTGTGGTACCCTCGATTGTGCGAGGTCATGTTTTCTCCAGGACATGTGCCCGAGGACGAAGATCGTCGCGTGCGCGGACGTTGCTCTTCGCGGAGAGAGTTCGCTGGCCAATCGTTTCGGACAGGGCGGAGGGAGGGCTAGCGCTGCTTTCTGTATCCCGTCTACGAAGATCTTCGCGAAGGGACTTGCCGTTCAGCGGTACACCTTCCCGAAGCCATGGGATACGTTCCCGCGCTAGGACCGCGAGCGCAGTATGGCTTCGGCTCGGAGTCCCTATCGCGATCCGCCAGCCGGTGATGGATCAGACGTCGCCTCTTCATCTAATACAGCTACGAGCTACGTCTCGATTCGCTTGTCACAGTGCAGCGCTACCGACTTTGAACAACATCTATATTAAGTACCAGCCATCTGAATCATGATCGCCACAAGCGCATGAAGGATCGAGCGCACCGACCCATCGTGAGCGCTACTGTGCATCACCGCCCCGCAATCTCGCGTTTGTGTGTGTAGCATCGAGGATACATATGTATTGTGCGAGGATATCTGTGCTGCCTGGCACGACCAGCCTGCACGTTACAAGCCCGGAGTGGCATAAGCATTATCTAAATTCCGCACGGGAAGGCGGATAGATTAGATAAAAGAGGCCATGATGCATGTACGGCTCACAGCAGGAGTGCGTCATTTGGTCGTACTCGAGGAGACACGCACTGGACATAAAGCTACAGCAATTCTAGTGCGCACAACCCGGAAATATCGGCTTGCGAACCATTGATCGGACCGGTGATCCGAGAGCGCAAACTACCTAGAGCGTACGCGTCACTCAACCGCAAACCACCATCGACACCTTGGTTCGACGCAACGCATCGCTCATCCAAGACTGCACCGTACTCCCCACCTATATTCCAGTCTCACTCAGACTCTGAATCATCCCTACCTCTGCGTCATATACATATACCACTCTCATCGTCTCCCGGTTCGTATTACTCATGTGCTGTGTGCCTCGTGTTCCGATGACTGTTACTTTTCTGTCTACTGTGTAGTGTGCGTTACTAGTTCTGTGTCGTAGCTGGGTATACGATGCTTGCTGTTGCCACCGCATCGACTATCGCGCTACGCCGCGAACGCGCCAACACAGCTCCCTGAAATCTCAGGCGCTGCTTCTACCACCAACAACCGCGATTGTGAAGCCGTTATAGACATTAGGGAGCCGGACACGGCTCACGCGCTGCCCTGGCTTGTGGAACGGGTTGAGCTCGATGGCGTTGGGACCGTACACCGGTACCTGCGGGTAAAGCCGTGCAGGGATCTATGGGAACATCCTAAGTGCCATCTCCAGCACAGACTCGTATGAACGCCAGGGACTTACCGAACTCCTGACTTCGAACTCGGCACTTTGCTCCGCGTAATCAGTCACCGCGAAGGGTATCTTCTGCCTGTATGCATCCTTGATGACGGGCGCCCATCCGGGATACACGCACAATCCGGCGTCGTGCGCGATGAGGGCGTCGGGCCGCTGTTCCTTCCTGACCGCTTCCCAAGACCACACATCGGATTCGCCACGAAGGAAGATCTTCAGTGTGCTTCCACCTAGCTCAGCGGGAGCTTTGTATTCGAAGAGAGGCGTACCCGGGGAGGCGAAAGCGCGACCGGCTGGCGAGTGGGGAAGAGCTTTCGAGGATGTTGCTTGGCGCGCTAGCTCGTATACGCCGTAGCCGAAGACGGATATAGTGATGTCGTGGTATGGAAGGAGCAGCGCCAGCTCAGAGTAGCTATGCATGTTGTGAGCCGCGGTTCGGCTACAAGATGAAGAGACGACGTACAGAGGCATGAAGTTGAGCTCAATCTCGGCGCCGAGCATGTGTACGTTCAGCGATATGCGACCGGTCGCGCTTCCAGCCGTGGTGCTCGTGAGGCTCAGGGTGTGCGTAAGCAGATGGTAGGCAGTCAATGGGTAGTCCATCAAAAGAGCAGCGGGCGACTCGAGCGGGAGCTTTCGCCAACGATACCATGATGCCCAATCCTTCACTCCGCCCGCGAACTCCGTAATCAAGACAGGCCACCTCTCGCGACTGATCGACTCCAGATCGCGGTACGGGATCAGGTTCTCGTCGAGACCCCATCCTTGCCTATCCGTGAGATGGGACGGGAGATGCAGCAGGTCGTATCCGTTGTCGTGATCCTCGAGGGTTTTGCCGGGCCGCTGGAAGAACGTAAAACGCATGTCCTGGTGCGGGTTCTCGCCGATGCTGTGGCTCCAGAACCCGCACCCAGTGCTGCCGTAGACGTCGAAGCGAGCTTTGGCGACTTTGTGATTGAACGTGCCATTCTCTTCCACACGACCCCAAGGGAACTGCCTGATGACGGCCGAGACGTAGGGAAGACGCTGCATGTGACGCTACATTGTGTAGATGAGCGGCATGAAGGTTGAGGCAAAGTCAAATATGCATACCTTGTTATCATCACAGAGGTCTCTATGAGGTCGCGTTCCCCTTCTGCGTCCGTACCAAGCTGCTTTTTGACACTGGATACGCAAATGGTGTGAGTAGGTGAGCAACTATGCAGGAACTCTGATGCGTACCTGTGGACCGCAGTACGTCACAGCCTTGCATCCACTGCAGACTTTGGGTTTCGTGAGAGGCGGTATGTACTCCGTGCAGTTGTCGCATTGATTGCCCTGGCCTTTTCTCGGTCACTATGGTTGGTAGACAGTAAGGAAACGAAGACGCACTGATCAGCCCTTCGAGGCGGAAATCCAAAGGTTCTCCATCTTCTTCAGACTCCCTCACTTTCCGAGCGAGGAGTATGACAATCTGGCGCTCGCTCAGGCTCTCCACCTCCTCCAGAGTGAGCTCCTCGAGGTCAAGGTCAAGGAAATCGGTATCGACGTCGTCATTCATGGTATATCGCAGGGAAGAAGTGCAAGCAACGCCAAGCAGCCACTGGCTTCCCTAAAGAGAGTTTGCTCGCACGCTTCCCTTTGTGCTTCGTATCTTGTCGATAATCCATTGTTGTACTTGGTGGGTGGCATGAATGGTCTTCTTCATCATCTGATGTGACCATGACCGTGACTGCGGGCCGTTGAAGGGGACACAGAGCGTAAGTATGATGTGTCGAGTCATCAAAAAGCACCCATAGCCTCTATACAAGTAACTTGAGTGGTAAGTGTGTCGTCAGCGCTTGAGGCCCAGCCGCTGTCGCTGCCAGGGCTGACTGATCAAGAGAGGCAAGGAATCGCAAGAGCAGTCCGAAGTGGTTCATGTCAGTAACGGTTCAGTGTCGCTCTACACCACGTCGCGACAATCGCATGAATGAGTGAGCTTTGCTTTGATACCAAGTTTCAGCCCAGGGTGGAACGATCTTTGCCAAATGGTCCCATGAAGGTGAGAGGCAAGTCCGATTTCGCGAAAGTATTGCTTGATCAACATCGGGCCGATGTCCGATCAAACACCATGTTGAGCGTCACTCGTACGTGCTTGGTGGATCCCAATAGCGGGCAGCATACATACTCATGACACGGCCTGCAAGCACGAACAAGATGGGACTCACTCTTGCGGGATTCAGTCACAAGTACCACGGACACATTCGCGAAAGAGGTGATGAGTGCCCAGATAGTGATTGTGATTGAGCGATGCAAAGAAGATCTAATCTAGTACGCATCCGAGCAGATTCGACGCGCACATCTATACCAGTATGAAAAGAGCAATGGGAGACCCGTATCATGCAGCGCCGTGTATGAGAGGCTCAGCGTGCTGACTTACTCAGTCTCCAAAGGCAGCCCCGAAAGCGTGCCGTTCTCGATGGCCGAATCGTGTCCACGCGCGAGCATACCGTAGGTAGGCAGGTAAGTATCGAAGAAGGGAACCATCTCCTTTGCGCCAGGGGTGGCGCGCCAATCGCGCATCAGCTCGCTCGCGATGGCGAAAGAAGAGAGAACGTTTACGCCCGCGTGGCGCATGCGGTCGTTCGCGTCGTTCGCAGTGCGGACATCGAAGGTTCCTAAAAGATGAGTTGAGCCGAAATGAGCCGAAACGCCATCAGGAAGGGTGAGGGGTACGAACCGCTAGCGTCAACATTGTGCCACACCTGGAAGCCAGCCTCGAGGAGAGAGAGGGAGAGGAAGGTAGCGCAGACCTGCGTCATTGTTCAGCAGCCGTGTCTGAGTGACAGGAAGGGAGGTAGCGTACGTCTGTGGTGATACCGGATACAATGACCTGAGTGCGGTTGGCAGCGTAGACGGCGTTGCGGAAGTCCTCGTTGTCCCAAGCATCGACCTCACCCTGGCGCTTGATGAACGGCGCTTCGGGGTGCATGTCGATAACTTCATGGGGTATAAGTCCGTTGGGTCCTGCCGAATGCGTCAGAAGTCAATCAGGAAGATACAATGAGAGCAGACTTACCAGTTTCGGAGCTGGACGTGATGACGACTGGAAGATCGAACACCTTGGCGAGTGCGGAATGCGCGAAGATGTCGTTCCTGAAGTGTACTTGGTCGCGGTCGCGAGCAAGCAGGAATAGGCCCTCCTGTTGGTCGACGACAAGAAGCATTGCCTTGGTCTTGTCGAGTCGATTGTAGGTGTAGCCGGCGACGCCGACCGACGACAGCTGGAAAGCGAGGACGCAGGAGAGGAGGGCTGAAGCGAAGAACATCTTGGTGAACTTGAGCTGGAGAATTTCGGTTACCGACGTCGAACCTTTATAGCCGTATGCTTGAGTACCGAACGAGGTACGGAGAGTATAGACCGCAACAGCTATGGCGTGCAATCGATGACCTGACATGAATAAGCCGAATTATCTTCAAGAAATCGTTACTCACCTAGGAAGTATGACTGCCCATCCAATCAAAGAGGCCCATATTGGACTGACATTTGATCGGATATCACTGTGGGGCCAGCGATAGCGTGCTCTTCGGTACGCCGCGAAACAAGGTAAGTTGAAGTGTTGGTTGACCGGGTAGCCCAATTCCGCTTGACTCGTGCCTTATCCAGTCAGAAGCTCGCGCCGAGGGTACGTGCCACTCGTTTTTGAGGCTGGCATCGGCGCTATGCGTCATGTGCAGTCTTGTTAAGGTTTCTGTCAGTGCCTTGCATCAGTTCTCACAGCATGCTTCAATGGCCGCCACTCTGAAAGGGCGTCCCGTGCCAGGCTGTTCAATTCCGGCCGTGCATCGGAATGGCTTGCACGACCGACAATCCCGAAGAAGCTGAATGCAGTAGTTTCCCCCTACTTATGATGATGTGCGATGTCAATACGTCATGCTAGCAAGCAGGTCGAACGCAAGTCATCTTGACAATTTGACGTGCACAAGCGCGGTGGTCAGCCACTGACGCAGAAGAAGCGGCGGGATCGATGGACATAACGACAGTGAGCATCGCTAGCGCAACACCGACAACGCCACAGGGGCCGTACGTAGACGACATTCAACTTTGACGCTCTAGGTATCCGCAAAGGTATGTATCGCCGAGAGAAGAGGTCAGACAACACCGCAACACCCGCCTGGTCCCGCCACGGAGGGCAAGGACCGAGTCCCAAAGGCGATTACGTCCAGAGCGCTCACAGTGAAAAGGCGGGTGTGGCGGGCGCGACGGGTATAGTCTATAGGCTATGCTTCACGGAGTTGAAGGTGGGCAGTAGATCCGGACGAGAATCCCTGAAGACGAGTGGCAGGCAGGTGACAGGAGAAGAAACAAGAGTTCATGGAAGCGGGCCAACAGCGGCAGGCCTTCGTCATCCATCACCGCTCGCGTGTAGGCCATTACAACAGAGTGACCGCTCAGCTCTCGATAGAAGCAACGGGGTTGTGATATACACCGTGGTGGTCGGGAAGAAAGCGGCGCGTGCAACGAGCGCGAGACAGATACGCTTTTCTTGGTGTCGCGGGCCGACTTCCGAAGGCACGGCATCTGCAAGGACTCGGAACTGGCAGGCTCTTTCCGACAGCGCTTCTGCTCTTCTAGTAGCGTATGGCCACTACGCCATTATCATAGAGCAAGAATAAGGCGTAAGTGAGTCTGCCCGCCTGTGGTAGGGTCTGTTTGAGGCTGTAAGCTGAAAGTTCGTTCCAGAGGTAACCCTAACCTGACTGGAACCGCAGCGTCGACGCGACCTGCCGCCTGCACGCGTGCCGCGACTTGTCTTCGACCTTGATAAGCTTGACATCCAGCCTGCACCTCTCGACGCGATACGTGCCGAGGTGCTGAATATAATTGCCGATCTTCAGGACTTTCCTTTGCTCTCGTCTCATTATCAATGGCGCAAGTTGCAGCCGCAGAGGCAGACACATCGCACCTCCTCCCCATTACCGTCTCAAGAGCAGAGCAATGCTCGGTACCAGCCATCGAAGTACTCCCCATCAAGCTCCTTCTGCCGGTTGCGTCTAGCTGACGACAAAAAGTCGACCGGCGTGACACTACACGCGCGCAGCCCAACATATGAGCGCGCACCCATCCTTCACGTCAACTCCACGTCTGCTCCTCGTCGCGATCTATCTCTCTGCAGTGCAGACCCTTATGGTCTACCATCCCTCTTTGACATCACAAATGGACAAATATGGCCCTGTGGCTTTTGGAGCCCGAGTTCTACTAATGTGTACTGACCGAACACGTCCAGGTCCCTAGGGAGCCCTTTCATGGCGATGTATCGATACACCTTGTGTTCCGTCAGATGCATGTACATACTACGGTGCACAAAGAGTAATAACTGGCTCAACCTTCATCGTTTGGTTGAGAGTCAATACATAGTGTATGTGTGTATGCTTCTCTTGCGTTGTCGTCATCAACCAACCGGCCGGCCTTGCCGGTGATTTGAGATTTGTCGGGAAGAGGTTTGAAGGGGTAGCTTCTCCCGAGAACGATTGCCAAGTTTGGTACAAAGTATACCAACAAAGACTGGCCCAGTTACAGTAGGACTCGTATAGCCGGGCTACATCCTGCCGGACTACGTAACTGGACTCTCACCGGTCTCATTCAAGTTACATATCCCTTGTTCACCTCGAACTTCTCATAGACTTCACTCGCAGCAGATTTCGACTTCGACGACGCTTATCGAGGTGCGGAATCTAGATCAGTCCACTTGCCATCCGTCGCTGGTAGCGATTGTCCTTCTTAGAGTGCGATATGTGCCCATAGTATGAAGAAAGTTTACTTGATAGCTCGCCAGCAGTAAGAACACCCATATGCAACGTACGCGCCCGCACAACACGGCTCAAGCCCGTTGCCGACGAGATAGAGTATAATGAGATGGGCTGCCTTCTTCCGAGTAGAGTACAACGCACAGGCTTCCTCGTGAGTAAAGATAGATGTAGCGACCGACGACCACGGCCGTCGAAACAGATCCTACCGGTCAATCTGGTAGCCGGCAGACAGACGTATCCGGAGCTTACACAACGATGATTGCGTTGGGATGTTTAGGGATCGAGCAAACTAGCGAATTCGAGAAGTGAACTTTGCTTTGTGCTTGTGCATCACCTAGGTGTCATCCATCAGTTAGCATCTGATCGGTCGGTCCTATTATTTGTTCGGCCGA